AGCGGTATTATACTTGCCCGAGATTCGATCGTCAGTATCCCGATACCTTGTTCAATCTCGTTACCGGAAGTCTCTTTACTCGTTCCGTAACACATCATCCCGTGATCAACCCCTTGGTCACATTGTGCACATTATGATGATGCCCTACCGAGTGGACCCAGAGATACCTCTACGTTTACACGGAGTGACAAATCCTAGTCTTGATTCGTGCCAACCCAACAGACACTTTCGGAGATACCCGTAGTGCACCTTTATAGCCACCCAGTTACGTTGTGACGTTTGGTGCACCCAAAGCATTCCTACGGTATCCGGGAGTTGCACAATCTCATGGTCTAAGGAAATGATACTTGACATTAGAAAAGTTTTAGCATACGAACTACGATCTTTGTGCTAGGCTTAGGATTGGGTCTTGTCCATCACATCATTCTCCTAATGATGTGATCCCGTTATCAACGACATCCAATGTCTATGGTCAGGAAACTGTAACCATCTGTTGATCAACGAGCTAGTCAACTAGAGGCTTACTAGGGACATGGTGTTGTCTATGTACCCACACATGTATCTAAGTTTTCTATCAATACAATTATAGCATGGGTAATAAACAATTATCATGAAGAAGGAAATATAATGATAATAATTAATTTATTATTGCCTCTAGGGCATATTTCCAACACGGGTTACAGTGTAAAACACCATCGGATTACAATGTAAAGTACATAAATTATGGGTACAATTACACTGTAAAAGGGCATATGATTGCAGTGTAAAAAGTAAAAACAGTGCAAACCTACACAGCGATTATGGGTACAAATTACACCAGAAATGGACATTCGAACTGTAGTGTAACTACAGTACAAACTACACAGTAATTATGGGTAAAATTGCACTGTAAGAAAACATCAGGTTACAGTGTAACTGCAGAGTAACTACGCGGTAATTAAGGGTAAATGTACACTGTAATAACGCATCGGACTACACTACAAACAGGGTCATCTATGCAGTAATTACAGAGAAATTTACACCACTAAATTAAAGTGAAAGCTACACTACAAAATTTACAGTGTAAATACGCATCGGATTACAGTAAGAAATCAAGACAAACTACACAGGAAATAAACTGTAATTAAGTGAAAATTACACTCCAACCTGCACAGAAATATACATGGGATTACAGTGTAATTAAGTGAAAATTACATGACAAAATACAATGTAAATATACATGGGATTGCATTGTCAAAAATACATGACAATATACACATGAGATAAGATGAAGAAAACACATTGGCACCTTCAGAAAAAAGGATGGGAATGTGACCAAAATGATAGAATGTGACAAAATTAAGTGAAATTAGGCGTAACTAAAGGACAAGTTATCCACTCAGAAATTAGGGGGGCCAGTTTCACAGTACTTACTACAAAAGGTGCAACTTAGTAGGGTGCATAAGATAGCAGTGAAGCTCTACATTACAAGTTGCAGTGAAGATATGGGGCAACTAACAGGGAAAAATGCAGGAGAAGCTATCATATATTCTTGCACAAAATACATTAAAATGGAGGGTGAACTACAATGACTCTGGAACAAACTACACAATAATCTATAATACCTAAATAGTTGATCTCCACTACACCTAATTCTTTCAACATGCAGCCCTCCACGTCACCATTATGCCATGTCAGCATTCCCACTAGCCTATTTCTCAATTTTTCACTAGAGAAAACTATTTAGTCGTGGGTCTTTTATTTACAGAAGTTGAGAAAGTCCGATACGACACCTCAATTACTCTCCCCTTCATCTTCTGGGCTAGAGTCTGGCCGCCTGCCTACCCAGTACCCACGCCGGCATTTAGAGCTGCTCCCTCCTGCCGTCCCTCTGCTCCCAGTCGTCCTCGCAGCAGTGGCGTCAGACGCACCGGACGCGGTGGACGCGGCCATCCCTGACGGGGCCCCAATTTCTGCGGGATGTGGCCATGCAAAGAAGCAGGTCGCCGACGTCTCCCAGCCTCCTGCCGGCGCCATGGCCTGCTAGCCATCCCCGCCCAGGCGATCTATCCTCTGCACACACCGTGTCTCCCGTCTGGTCCCTCCTTGCGTCGGCGGCCTGAGACGCACACACCGGACGAGGCCCTTAGCCGGTACACATCTCCAGCCCTCCGTTACCTCCCCTTCCCTCTCCTATTTGGACCAGCTTATCCCGCTTTGTTCGGTTCCACTGGAACCAAACCTCTAGGGGATTAGACCCACACAGGGATTTGGTGATCCCCACCTCGTCACCCAATCCCCTAACCAACAAACCCTGCTAATCCCTGTACAACAATACGTGTTCGGTTAGTCCCCGGCAACCTCCCATCAATGGCCTTTGTACACTTCAGCACCAAATCAACTAAACCTCCTATCATTGTTCTTTGCACCAAATCAAAAGAACATCACACACACAACAAACTTGCTATAAATTTCATACATCCAAGCACCAAATCCGCATAACAGTATTTTTGTTGCGTCAGAACAAAACATTATATGAGAAGCTTGCTGCAAGTTGATATTTTAGAAGAAAAAATATCAAACTATAACATGAATTCTGAATATTTAGAAGTCAAAAAACGACCCTAATCAACAATCACCGATGTATAATATTATTATATTTCCGACCATGATCAAATTATTGCTGTATAGAACAGACGACTCTAATCTCGCCGATGTCGCTTCCGTAGTGATTGATGCACTGCATTGGCAAAAAAGGGCGGTCAGTCCACATCAAAGGACTGATATCAAAGCATTGATGACCAGCTAGCAAAGAAAGATCATAAAATAATCGTGCATTGATTTCAAAATTTCACGGATCAAATGGGCAGCAACATCGCATCCATATCCACTAAACAAATGATCTTCCAATGGAAAGCTGCAAATAGCAGCACAGAATAATAATATTAGAAATGAACAACCAGGCATATATATCAATGATACAGCGTTATACATCGTGTAAGAATACACTAAATTCGTATGACCACAAAAAACTATGGTCTACTTTCAGAGAACAGTACCAAAATCACAAGTTTATGAACAAAGATTTCTTTCTTTCTTTCCCCACAAAAAAGATTTCTTTCTTTGGTACAAAATAATACTTGCAAAAGGAGGGCAAAGCAAAATTAAATGAAATGCGGAGATAGATCAATTCAGTTCCAATATGCACTGTATAAATAAGAGCTTCCATTACAGTCATAATCAGGGGAAAACAGGACAAAGAAAGGACAAGATAAGTACATAAAAAAGGACAAGATAAGATGATGTACATGAATGGATTCTCATCTCATAAGCATTTATCATGGTGCATTCTAGGGAAATCAAATTTCAGATAAAAAGTTATGAAATCTGGCGGATACCAATGGATGCACACACTACACATATTCTGGGTATTCAAGACCAGTATGCATGAAAATAGTTACAAGGGGGATTCTTGCATATTCTAGATGATCTTGCAAGGAAATAAGAGAACAAGGGAGGTTCATGTGGGCTACTTGAGCCATCAGCTTCAGGTTACTAGATGAACAAGGGAGGTTCATGTGAGCTAGATGAAGATGCGAGTCCCAGTAGGGTACAAAGAAAACCAAGTATGTACATCAAGATTAATATACCTTAGTCTTCACGATGCTGCCCCAAGCGGGGTCTTGCTGCGGCTGTGAGGCGGTGAAGCTGGCCTACAGAAAATGAAGGCAAAATGCAGATTTAGACATCGAAAGTAGTATGAAACAGTTATCGTTCTAATGTAGCACATACAAGTCAGGTCAAGCAACATAAAGTGGTATGAAACAGTTATCGTTCTAATGGAGGCAATATATTTTTTTCTCTTATTACAAAAACATTTTATGTCTACACATCTCAATATATTCTATATGTTCTGACAAGTAAAACTTTCTGCATCTAAATTAGTAAAATGCATTGTCGTAGTTGCATGGCTTCAAGATGCCTTGATCTCAGAGCATTTTACCTAAATTTCTCTTCACCCCCACTATCAAAAAAAATTCATGTAGTTGATGTTTACCTCAGTTACATAAAACTCAACTTTTCTCACCTCCCAAGGATATCATTGACAAAACTATATAGCTACAATTGCATCTTGTTGATTCTCTACAGGTAGCTGCAAATATAGTACTGAATCTCAGGGACAAATAAATACTAGATTACTAGTAGCATATATGTGCACTGCTAATGACATTGACAAAAAGATTCGACTATGTAGCAGATTTGGTTAGATTCAACTAGGTACACCATTTGCACCAAATCACAGGTAGAGCAAGTACAGAGGAGGGTACTGGGAAGCTGTAGTAAGCAGAGAGGAGAGGTGGAGCCTCGCCGGCAAGACGGCCCTTGTCACCGGTGGAAAAGGGGACGGGAAACCCTAGAAATCAAAAGGGGGGAGAGGAAGGAAACAAGGGTGGGGGAGAAGATCTTACCGGCATAGAAACGTTGGGGAGGGCCACCGGAGTAGGTTGGTGCGGCCGCCGAGCTCGCGCCGGGGATGGAAGAAGAGGGTCGCAGATCGGCTGCTGACTTGGGGAGAGTGGGGCGAGGTAGAAGGATGGCGCAGCAGCTGGTCTTCAGTGGAGGAGAGAGATCGCCCGCTCCGGCCCCTCGCCGTCGCCTAGTTCTTCCCTGTCGGCGTCGGCGCCGCCGCCGCTCTCGCCCGCTCCTCCTTTTTCTTTCGAGCCGAGAAGACTGAGACGACTGGTTTTGTTCCACGGGTGGGGAGACGTGGGCGAAAACCCAGTGGAATCCCTGTGGTTTGGAGTGGATTTGGATGGGGTATCAACCCGGCCGGGTTTACCGAAGACGCATATAAGGTAGGTCGGGATCCTACCCCAACCGGGGTCAAAAGCACGTGGATTAGGCCAAAACCCCGCCGATCCCGGCGGGTGCGGGGATTAAACGAACAAAGCCTAAAGCAAATATTTGGGAGGGTTAACACATACTTATCTCAAATCTCAAGCAGAAACTGCCGCGAGTTCATGGCTGTCGCCGCCGCTCGTCGCCGCCTGTGGCGCGGGATGCGAACTGCAGCCGCCACCACCGCGTCAGGCGAGGAGCTGTACGCGTCCCTGCTCTCGCGCCTGGTGGCGGAGCCGGAGTGCCGCGTGAAGGCCACCATGGAGGAGGCGACCTCCTCGGTCCCGCACTACGACGGCGCCTTCTGGGAGCCCCTTGCCGCGGCCCTCCTCCGCGCGTCCTACCCAGCCAAGGCGCACCTCGTGAGCTCCTCATACCCTGTATTTCCAGTTCCAATCCAACTGTGATTTCTTCATAGTTCTGCTTAGTAGCATTCGAGATCCCGAAAGCTGTCACAAGAACAACAGCAGAAAATCAAACAAGGAAATGAATTTCAGGCACGATTTCCGGTTTCGTATTGATATTACGGGAGAAATTCCCCAGATTCAGAAACAGATCGACTAGGTTTACTCCTTACACTGGAGAAATAGCAAACGAAGTCACACGCGATATTTCAACTCTTTCCCACCCCGGTACCCCCTGTGTTTTTTTTAGAAAAGGAGGTTAAACCTCTGGCCTCTGCATGAGTCGATGCATGCAGCCATCTGTATTAATTATTCCACAAAGATCTGACAAGAACATACATCAATCCATCCAAAGCCACCACTCACACCTACAAACTCGATAATGTGGACTAAATGCGGGTAGTTAACAGCCAACACAACGACTCGGTAAGAGGGTGACTCCAACACCATGGATTTTAACTCGTCTGGTTAACCTGTCCAAGTGGTATGCTCTTGTTTCTTCAGAACAGAGAGTTCAGGCTAAGAGGGGATTCAGAGATGCAGGGCTGACAGCTTTGTTCATAGTTTTATTTAGTAGAAGCGGTAGAGAAATCCCCCTGCCCCCTTCTCCCACGTGTTAGAATCAGATCTGCGATGCATATGGCAGTAGCATCAGCATGTGGTAGACTGAGGTATAGCGGATAGCTTAGTCCAAGTCAATATGATTAGTGAGTTCTGTGTGATAGTTTTTCTGGATTCATGAGATTTCTTCTTCGTATTTGTAATGACAGATATTTATTACGGCGAACTGATATGAGTTCAACATTGGATTAGGTCTTGGAATGGAAGCTAGAGAAGCTACTGATGGAAGGGGTTAATAGTCATAATTGTGAACCCTACTTGACACTGATCCGTTTCTGCGGAAAGACAAGGAATGCAGCTCTTGCAATGAGAGTCTTTGAGTGCGCAGAGGCACAGGGAATTCAACTGAACACTGGCATTTTCAATGCTCTTATTAACACTTTCTTGTCTGTCGGAGATCTCCTTGCTGCAGTGACCTTATACGAGACCATGGAAGGAATAGAGGACTCCAAACCTGACCGTGCTACATACGATGCATTCATATCTGCATTTTCCCGGCTTCGAAGTGGCGACGCTATGATGAGCTGGTACTTGGCTGCAAAGAATGCAGGGTTTGTTCCGGGAATTCAAGCTTTTGAATCTTTGATAGTGGGATTTGTTCTGTTGAACAAGCTTGATGATGCTGAGTTGGTCTTCGAAGAAATGGTTTCATTTGAAATGAAGCCAACCTGTACTATTTTGGAGGCCAAGCTTGAGGTGCTTCCTAGAACAGAAGAGGTTAATAGGGTCAACAGTTTCATAAAACTTGTCAGTGATGGCAACTGGGAGTTGAATAAAGCTTTGGTTGACAGACTAACAAGACTATGCCTGGATGGAGGTGAAGCTGATGTAATGGAGCAGCTGCTCGCCCTAATACAAAAAGAAGCACACTTTAGTTCTGTAACTCAACTGCATTGTGGAATTATCAGGTTCTATGCTAGTGCAGATCTCTTGTCAGATATGGAACATGCAATAGACCGGATGTTGGATGATGGCATGATGTTTCTGTGCCCAGAGGATGTTGAGGCTGTTATTTGTTCATATTTTCGTCACAAGGCATTTGATAGGTTGGAGATCTTTTTAAACCGCATCCGAAGTTTGTACATGCTCACCCGCTCTAGCTATGATATATTAGTTGCTGGATTTAGGAGGTTTGACTTGCATCAAAGACTTGAGGCAACCATAAAAGATATGAGGGAAGCTGGATTTGCATGATGTTCCAAAAACGTATGTACACTGGCTTCCTTTGTTTGGTATTTCCAGAAGTTATAAATAAAGTGCATCGAACTATCAGCATCAGATCTGGTGCCACTTTTCCTAGCTCTAATTAGATTTAGGAACGATCTCTCACAGGCACAGTATCATGTTGGTTATTTATGTATTTAGCCAAGATATCACAAAGCTTTAGGTACTCTGCAGACCAGTGAGAGGTTTGTGTAGTGGGGATGGGTTTTAACCCACTCTGCAGACCAGTGAGAGGTTTTTTGCTTCCTAACATGCCATTTAGGTACGTAGTTGTTGTATCTTACAGGCACAATATCATGTTTTTTGCTGTGAGGTGTTATCACATTTCACCTTGTTAGGCTCGGAGTTCTTAAAGCTAGCCCTCCTGATTGTAAAAGATATTCTGATAGATAGTAGTATGATTTATTTATTTTTCCCAAAAAGGGGATAACCCCGGCCTCTGCATCATATAGTATGATTTAATAGCCCTTGTCTGAAGTATTTTGCATAAATACACTTCCATTTTTTTATTTTTCATGTAGTATAACAGACTTAGGAGTACTTCACTGGTCCATTTGACCAAATGAGACCCTTTTACAAAACCAGTAAGATACACTACACTTACTGAAAAAGGCTTTCGCCCCGCTTTATATATAAAGCACGATCCACAAGCAACACGATACAAACTCACGCCACCATCGCACACGACACACACACCCAAGGCAAGATACAAAGGTGCTGAGCACCGCCACACCACCCCAACGACTACCAAGCCACTACACATGCACGAGGATGAACCACTAGGAGCCAACGGAGACCTCCAAGCCTCCGAGGAGAGGTGAGATGGAAAACGACGGGACAAGGTCTCCAAGATGGTGCCTCCTAGAAGGGAACGACCACTGATAGCCGCCACCATCCGATCCCAAAGATCGAGTTTTCACCCGGGGCAACTCGAAGGAGTAAGGGCACCGCGACGGAGCCTTCATGAAGGATACGGTGTCCACGGACGTCGCCGCCGCTGGCCAATACAAGATTGGGCAAGTGATGAACCCCGACACGCCCACCCCTCCGACGCATCCTAGCACCGTCAACCACCAGCGACCACCCACCCGCGTGGCCATGGCCGCTCGCCCGCACCCGAGGCGCAAGTTCTGCCCACGAACGTCGTGCCTCCCGCCGCCAGGGCCGCCGCCCATCATCCAGACACCCCCAAGACCATCCAAAGAGATCAACTTTGAGCCACAGGGACTCCCCCGATCGATGAACCATAGCATACGCCCCGCCTTGAACGTCGTCGGAGCCGCGACGACCCGCACACGGACGGGGAAAGGGGGAGGTGGGGAGCGGACGCATCCGTACCGGCACACCCCTGCGCCAGTGACGGGTGGCCCAAGCATGTCGGCGCCGCCCATCCCTCCAGCCAACCTCCCTACCGGACACACACCCCACCGCAGCGGCCGACGCAGACCCGCGCAAAGCCACCGACGCAAATCCGACCACCGGCAAGGGGGATCCCCACGGACCACCGCCAATCACCAAGAATACTCACCGGGGAGCCCAACTGCGCTGCCGCCGTCGTCCAGTCGGCGGAACGCATGGAGCCCGACCAACACGCCCACCGACCACCGCCGCTGCGCCTCCACCACCACCAGCTGCGGCCACGGCAGGGGCGAGCGCCCGCAGCTCGCACCGCCCTCGGCCCGCGCCGCCTGGGCCCAGATCTGGCCGACGCCGCCGCATGGAACCCACCGCGCACCATCACCGCTGCAGCCCCTTCACACCGCCGCCCACAGCACGCGAGTCCGCCGCCGGCTGCTGCCGTCGCGCTCTGAGCAAAAGCTGCGCCGCCGCTCGACCCGGAGGCCC